GATTGATATCGAATGTATAGGTTATCGGATGAAGCAAGTTTGCCACCAATTGAAGCAACTGCTCAGCACGTTCCTACGTCAAGAACTCCAGTCGACCAGTCGTGTGTATCAAAGGAACAGCCCCTTGACGACAACTTACATTCCCTACATATGCACCCCATACAAGCGGAATCACCAGCCAATCCCGTCGTAAACCACACAAAGCAACAGCCCGTTATCGTACGTGAGAGTTTATGATTCCATTCGTCTGGGGTGGGTGGGTGGGTGGCTGCAATCGAAATGGTTTTTCGAGTGTCGAGACAACGATATATAATGTATTTAAATATATATATCCTTTTTGACAAAGAAATAATATCTAGGGATGCAACTGTGCGCAGACGCTGCAGCGAGAACGCGTGCAGTTTACAGCGGAAAAGAAAGCGTGGGAAATATGGAAACGGAAACAGCAGACGGCGCTGGACCAGGCCGAAGCCAAGCGCATGGAGGCACTCGAAGCAGAGTGGGCTTTAAGAGAAAAAGAACGCCTTCAAACGGTCCGTAGGACGAGTAGTTATATCCCTCTCTCCTTGATGGGAAAATGTATATATATATAAATGTATTTGCATTCGTTTGAAATATATATATATATATATATATATATACTAGTATATAGCAAGACGATTTATGTCGCTCGCATTGATGAGGAAATATATATATTTACATTCCCATTCGTTATATATATATCTTTATAGCGAATGGGAAGATTGTAAATAAAATTATCTATATGTATTTATATCGAACTCTTATTCGTGTGGACAGAGGTCTATTAAATGGCGAATACGGAATCAAGATTATTATTTTTTTGTACAATTATGTTCGCCGTTTGTCCTTTGGGATTATTTGTCCTTTGGGATTATTTGCAGATACGTATATATAATTATGATTATATATGTATCGAATGGAATGTCTAAGCTAGAAGACCTGATAGACGACACTTGGTCGTAGGTGCGAGATGCGCAGCAAGAGTACGTGGGTTTGGAAAAGAAGCTGCGGCAGACGCTGCACGACTTGGACGTGCGCGAACGCAGTCTGACCAAGGCAGAGGAAGCTTTGCAGCACAAGCTCACGGTGCAAAAACACGAAATGGAGATCGTATCACGCAAGTCCAAGAGCGAAACACAGCATGCCATGTCCCTCGTGGAGCAGCAGAAGCAGTCCAGTGACTTGATTCGCCAGCAAATGGAAGATCGAGCGGTACTACAGTGTGTATATATTATATATTTGTCAACTCCGTTCCAATATGGACTTTGGAGAAGAATGAAATAAAAAGGACAAATGGATTTGAGATTATCATACCCAATCAAACTGCACTAATGATATATTTCAACCAATCATGGGTGTTTTGCCCAACAGTTTGACCCAGTCAACATGTTCATCGTCAAATGTGTATACCATACACTGCCTTAGCATCAAATCTGACTCAAATTGATCTCGAATCAGCTGCAATTTTCAGCGAAATAGACTATACATATATATATATATACATCGTACGAGTACGAGGTTGTCGTTATCTCGTCGTGGGGGGGGAATTTGTGTGTTTATATATGGAGTTGCCGTGTGTTGCTGTGTTCTGGTGCAACTTGTGCGACAACGGGGTAGTCCAATGGATGTAGAAGAGAGTGGTGATTGGGCAGTTATTGTGATTTCGTACTATAATGTATTTTACTCCAAATGATGTGGTTGGTTGATTTTTAAATGAACAATCGCCAGACCTGCGAAATCGCATATAAAACAAAGTTCAAGCGTGCCGGCATGTCCACGTTGAATCTTTTCAGCCAATCACGTTTCGTGACCTTCATTGTTTTAGCCAATCAAATTCTGTTTTGTTCGATTTGTGGGCGATGCCAACAATTCCCGAAAATTCGTAACTTTGAAAAGCACACAATAGATTCGAGTTGGGAAATATATATTTGTATATATAGATAGTTATATATAGTGATGATATGCATGTATTTGTGCGTGTTTTGGGTGGGATATATATATACCTTTTTATAAACGTCGACACAGAAATTATGTGATGACGTGGTGGGTAGATTCGAGCGGAATTGCAATTGAAACAATTGCAAGGGGATCTCGTGGCGTTGCGGGTGGAGCAGCGCAAAAGCCCTGAAAATGTCCTTCGACAAGACATTATCCAGTACCAAGCCACAATTGCCACCTTGGTACACGCCTCTCCCCCCCCCCAGACCAAATACATATGTGTTTTCTCGAATCATATATGGGAATCACAATCATCACAATCGTAGGAGAAGCAAATGCGGCTGCTGCAACTTGAAAAGGACAAGGAAGTTCAAGTGCAAAAGGAACTGGGAGTTCAAGTCGACAGGTTGACGCAGCTTTTGCACCAGGAGAAGCGACACCAAGACGAGCTAAAAGTACAAGAAGTCGAAGCGTTGCGGCTCAAGTACATTGCCAGGGAAGAACGGTACTCGAAAATATATATATATCCCGTGAATATATCAAATAAACTCACGGGTAGATTTGTATTGGACGGAGACCGACAAGAGCTCAAAGCCATCAAGAAGCAGCTGGATGTGCTGAGGCAAGTCCAGTTTAGCCAAAATAAGGAGCTCGCGCGGCTGCAAAAGGAAAAAGCAGAGCTCTTAGCCACGGGGCAGTACACAGAAGACAGCTTTGTCATCCAAGAGCTGAGTCGTCTCATCGCTGCAAAACAGCCATAGGAACACTGTGTACTCACTAACAACTACTACTATTAATAGAAGTACACGGGTGCAATATGTACCAGATTCATGGTGATAATATGTTAAATTCACGAGCGTCCAAGCCATCCATCATCCACGATGCTAGCGCTGCGACAGAGTCACACTCTAACGCATAAGCGTGCCCCCCCTCACCTTGTCGCAAGCCTCGAGCGCATCATGGACACAGCCCTGGAAGTTGCCATCTATCAGCCCCCCCCCCGTCACAGCAACCTTGCCAGTGTGCCACGTCACAGAAGACGAATAGAACGCGTTTGCAGACACATCGTGTCTGTCCCCCAGCATTCTCGAATGGTTTCCAGATACGGAAGAGATCCACATGATCGAGTTTGAGCACAGACCACATCGGAAGTTTCTCGGCGTGTTGAGCCAAAGTTCTTGGTTTGCCAAGCCAGTGATTGATCGCTCGACGGCTCGCAGTGTACAGTCATGCGCCTGCAACAACTTTGCAGGGTGATGGGTATGTCCTGATTTGAGCTGCGGCCCCTACATCAACACCATGCGGGCTAGTTGATTCGTCCATGTAATGCGATGACCTACCGACTAAGCACTGCATCGTTTGATAAGAAACCATAGACAATCAACGCCACGATACGATTCGACAGTGCAGCGAGTCGAAATTTCCGAGCTAACAATATAACCTGGCTTTGATCGACGTCGATGTAGTACCTGTAGCTGTCATCGCAGTACCGTTCTGCGATGAAACTTTAGGGTGATATGTTATAGATATGTCATGAGCCACGGATGAGCCTCAGGGAGATCGGGTATCAAAAATACACA